ACAGCAGGCACAAAGGCAGAAGAAGGAACAAAGAACTGGACAAAGGGGAAAAACCGAAGGAAGTGGCACGAAGCAGAGGAAGAGCAGTCAGTGCTTTTCTTTAAGGAAATAACACGTTTCTCAAAGCAAGGAAGCTGCCCATATATGGTAGTAGATTTGGCCCAAAAGGAGACGATAGATAATCAACAAGTGGGCCAAACACCAAAACTAGTCCAAGGAGTGAAGTGTCGGGCCATGAGCAGCCCTAATTTAATTAGGCTATTTCCAATGACCCAAAATAGTTATAGGCTGGGGTCATTTCATTTGAGGTGTTGATATTTCACTTCAATTATTTGGTCGATACCAACTACATAACTAATGGTTTAATATCATTGCTCAAGAGTTATTAGATATTAAAATCCAACAAGTTCTTTTATCAAAAATCTGACAGATCCACAGTTTCACCAATAGCTTTTATAGAATGGATATACTTATTTATTTAAATTATATCATAGGTATCCACAATGTTGCTAATAGCTTTCTATAGAGTGGATAAACTTATTTATTTAATTTATATCTTCAACGTTAGAAGCCCCTTTGACATCCCTTTATCAACAAATAATTCTTGATATGAAAACGCAGAATCAAATGGCTGATCTTTGAATAAGAAAAAGATCGGATATGCAGCAAGATTCCAAATGAACCAGATTCTTTTCTTTTCTTTTTTAATTATTATCAAAGTTTCAACAACCAAAGTTTTTCTAAATAGATGAAAGAAAATCTAGAACTCATGTGTAGGTAGAACTGCCTCATAAATAACTATCAGAGAGTCGATGGACTTATTTATCTATATTATGTCTTCAAAACACACAATTCTAAAATTTCATTAAAGGGCTTAAAGATTCCATACAACCATAAAAGAGAATCATTGATTAGTGAATATCATAATTATATAATACAGATAGCATAATAGCTTAAATTTCATCTAAATCTTTATTGAATAAAGTCATTTTGAAATTTTGTACAAATAAAGTTGGTTGACCTCCTATTTAGTAAGGGTGACGTGGACAAATGCCGAGTCAACTCGCATCCAGACAAGCAAATTCCAACACGTTTAGACCAAAGACTTGGTCGGAGAAGGTTACTATATATAGACGTGAGATATGTTCTATGACGTGAGATAAAAATGTTCAGACATTGACAGTATATTTAGAGACAATTGCATAATTATAATCAATAATCAACAACTCTACTAGAGCAAGCTAATCTAAACTCCAGCAAACAACAGTATGAAATGAGCAAGAGAGAAGACAAAGAGTATCTTTAAGTACAAAGTGTTGCATTAGCTTTCAAATGATACAAGCATTGGTTATTTATAGTGTTGCGCATGAAATAATATCCATTGGATAATTGGGCACGTGACTTCATTTCCATAACTGAGACATCTTATTCTAGGCATCAGTTTGACCTCACTAGCCCGTAGCACATTTAATGCTTTTAAAGGGAGCAACCACCCTACAACCTATGCTGATAAGACTTTGACATATCACTTATTACAGAAGTCAAATAAATCATTTCAACTAGATTTCATGAAGGATCTTCAAATGAGAGTCATCACTTGTTATGATAGAACTTTGGATTCAACTTTGAGCCTCAATACTTCGGCAAGGGGCTTCGAAGTTTCCATTTACATGGAGCTGCTTCGGTGAAAGTGGATTTCGGAGCTCCAGATTTAGTAGACTTTAGCAAATGGGCTTCGATGGTACGGTCACCTAGGACACCAGGTCGCGAAGTGCAACAATAGTCTCCCAAATTCATGTACGATTATTCATGTCATGCATGGACTTCTATCTTGAGCAATATTCTGAAAAGTGCCTAGACGTCGCCTAGGCATGAAGAGAATGCTTTACCTTAAGCCTAAGCAAGAATTAAGCCGTCAATGACAATGTTGTTTGGGTAATGGGTGCCTAGGCATTCCATGGCACGCTTAGTTATTTATTATTTTTTTCTCATTAAAACGTTTCATCTTCCCTCCCTATTAAATTATTAATCACTAATTTATCATACAATAAAAGTGAGAAATACTAAATAGACAGCCATACCACAACTTGAAATTACAAACCACGCTTTCAAGGACTTCAACACAGAATTCCAAAAAAATTATTTCTCCTCCAAATCCAATACCCACTTCGGCACTTCCTCCATCTCATTAGTGGTATGACCACATCTCTTGCCAACTTTTTTTCTGGTAATATTATATTAGTGGGTTTTTGTTTTTGACTTTTCCCAGTTTTGCTTCGTGTTTTGATGGGGGTTTATAATCAACTTGGTTGTGTACTTTTCATGAGTTTGGCTGCAATTACATGATTGAAATTACAGGTGCTTGCCATAAACCGTCGGTTTTGTTGCTGAAATTCATGTAAGTGCTTGATAAATCTCATTTATGTGTGAGTTGAAATTGGAATTGTTGCTGAAATATAAGAGTTAGAATAAGATTTTAAGCTACAAACTATCTACGTTATGTAATTATGATTTTGAAACTTATCTTTTTGTAAGAATTATTAAGTAAATACAGTATTTTATAATTTTAGATGTTTGATATGTATTATTTGAATTATTGAATGTTTTTACAATGATTAAAATTTAAAATAAAATTAAAAATCAAAACACGCTTTTTTACACCTAGGCTCGTAAAGTTTGAAACTTGGCCTCCACGCCTAACCACACATTATGCTTTTTAAAACACTAATATTGAGTGAGATTTCTTTGGAGCAGGTTCTTCTTAAAATAAAAGTAAAAAAAAGTCTTTTAAAAAAAGAAAAAAGTAAAAATAATTAATAAACTAAAGAGCAAAAAAATAAAATAAAAAATGGAAAAAAAAAACTAATAAAGCCTACCTAGGCATCCCTAGGCGTGTCTAATCATGCAGTAAGCGATCAACTTAACAATTGATCACTTAATTCAAACTTAATATTAAGACAAAATGTTTTGTCCATGCCTTCGAAGTCTAGGCACATTTTTTAAAGCACGGGTGGTAATCCATTAGTTTGAAAGAGGGATTTAGCTTTTGAGAAATTGACACAATTAGCACCATGATTTCTTATTATTATTATTATTATTATTATTATTATTATTATTATTATTATTATTATTATTATTATACGTTTAAAATCATATGGTCGAACAACTCTTTTGAATTTTTTTTGGAAACAAATCCATTTCTTGGCTTCAAACAATCTTTGTTTTTATTAGCACTTATAATCAAGTAAATTAAGGGTTTTATGTAATTTTAAAAGAGAAAGAGATTTCGAATGCCAATCACCAATGGTTGGATATGAGGTTGCAGTGAAGTCGATGAAAGATTACATTTCAAATTATATGTTAAAAATCGTTGGTAGAAGGAATGCATCCCCTCAAGTATAATTCATTTAAGCAAATTGTCGACCAATAAATAAAGAAATGAATACAGAGATGAATGACAATTTGAAAACAAAATTTAATAAATAAATTTATCTATTTTATATCTTCTCAAGCTTAAAATAAGATAATTCAACCTCAAGAGATTCGAAATAAAATAGTTATTAAAATGCCAATTGAAAAAATTTTAAAATCAAAGTGAAAACGTTATGTTTGAAAATGTTCACTTATGCATATTGATTCGTTGATTTCCAACAATTGAGAACACAAGCATGATTGGTTCCTCTCCTTCAAGATAAATGGGAGTCCAATTCGCCTTTTTCATTATATTTACTTTGTGGGATTTTTCATTAGAAGCATATTGAGAAGTAGTCAAACACTATGAATGCTACTTGTAAAATATTATGTAAAAATGAACATTTTTATATTTATACATATTTTTTTTATAAAATCACCAACAAACAACCCATCACCAAACCCTAACTACAAGAAAAATCATCGCAACCTTCCACCACCATCTAATCGCACGTAGATTTGTGAAACACCAGTGGCAACCACCATAACTACATCATAGCCTCACCATTGCAACCACCACCACCATCTAGTCTTACGCAGATGTATGAAACACAAGTGGCAACCACCATAACTACATAGGTCCACCATCGCAACCACCACCAGTTGCAATCACCACAACCTTTTTACTCTAGCACTGCCACCATCATCATAATCGCTCTACCAACACTACCAACTACGAGTAGATCTACGAGATGTCACCACCATCACCAATAGTGTGTAGATCAGCATGACACCACTCGATGAAAAATGGGCTCTAGCGATTTGGTTTGACATTGAGGCAAACTAGCAATCGTATCCCTAGTTCATGGATGAAAACTAGCACCCAAACTAGAGATTTATCAGGGTATTTTGGTTCAAAATTTACAAAAATGGATATTTATAAAATATATTGAAAATTTGTGAAAATTCAAAATTTTAAGATGCCCATCGTGAAATGTCATATTGGATGCAATTTCCTCTTTTCTTTATTTTATAAGGGATTGGGGGCTTCAAAATTCAATCTGATTTTTCATTTGTACTGTACTAGACGGACAAGGCAACGTCCGCCTTGTCCATCCAAGGGGTCGATATGGCGTCCCCTGTTTGAACAACTTCGCTCTTTTCATTTATATCTATATATTCAAACGTATACAAATATTTTAATTTTTTATTTCAAAAATACTCAACCCATAAAACTTTAACAATTGAATGTTAGTAGATTTACATGAATTTGTCACTTACAACCCAATTAAATCATCTCATCTAAAATTTGCATAGAGAAAGAAAAACTCGTTGTTTTTATTTATAAACATTGTAATATGACTCAACACGATCCATTTCTTCACGATCTGGTTCATGAGTTTCACACATATAAGCCTCTTTTCGGATTTCGCCTTTTGTTATTAAAATTCTTCTTTGTAAAAATGAGTAGTTAATAAGTAGATTATGATACCATTAAATATATAATTAAAATAGATGATTAATTTTAAAAATAAAATTTAAGGAGAAAAAATAATCCCAAATATAGGCTAAGTTAAAGATTAGACATTAGGCAAAACAAAACGTGTATAGATTCCATAGTTGGAAGTTCCCAAGGTCACCTCCTAGAGCTTTGAGCCTAGGGCACCCACCCATGTTATTAGCACAGTCAAGGTCATTATTTATTCCATACATAAGTAATTATTTGTACCGTTCTGTCCCTTAAAACAATAATTATAGAATACGGTGTCTTTTCAAAAGTAGTATTAGTTGAATTTGAGTATCCTATTTCCACAAGGTCTGCCTCAAAGTATGGGATGATGTTCAATTTTTCCTAAATTTTTTACTCTTAATTAATTAAGCCTATCGCCTTAGTTCAATCACCATTTCATACAATTTGATATTTTGAGCTACCATTTTTTTCTTTTCGTTTTTCTTAAAATTTTTGGCAATGATTTTTCAAAGAAACTTGTTAATTCTTTGGTAAAAAGCTACAAAATTTAACCTCTATTTGGTGTTAATTAAAATTTTACATCAAAATTAACAATTAATTTTAGTCACAAATTTCATGATACCAACAACTTTTCAATAATATATTTTATCAACTTTTATCAAAATTTACTAAAATTTGATTTAATCTACAACAAACAAAGGTTTATTAAAATATTTATGTGTATTTCTCGCTGTTAATGATATTTTTCACATTTAGCCGAAATGTAAATAAATATCTAAGAGCTTGTGTTAAAACACCCACAAATCTTACCTTGTCAAAATGCTATGAAATCGATGATAGTTTCACATCTAAAGACATCGACGACAGCGACGACAAAATTTGCAGGAATAAAGGGTTTTTGCAGTCGGTTATATTACGAAGCTAAAGATATTGGCTTCTTCGTTCAACAGATAGATGGCAGCCGGAGATGGTAAAGAGAACGAATACGAAGTTGGCAATAATTAATGGTTCACGATGTAGGTTCGA